CGAGAAAAATTATCAGCCATTCCAGAATTCAGAAGACCTCATCTTCAGATTTCTGGGGGGGCAGAGGGAAATAGAGAAATGGCACAACTGATCTAATACCCTTCAGCTCAGCCGAAGTTTGATACTTATGTCAGTTTTTTCACAAGTTGAAAACATCCGAGTACAAACGACAAAAAGAAGTCTCAGCAGAAATGATTCTCGCTAGCCGAAGTTCTGCACTTAGCAAATATTTGAAAGATCATTCAAAGAAAGCAGTAAAGTGCGAAGACTGGTAAAGCGAAGAAAAAAAATATACACAAGAAAGCTGAGAAAGTGAACTTCTTTGAAATAAAAATGTTGAATTACAAAAATAGTCGGCAGCCGCCCACAAGCGGAAAGTAACAGCTGCCGAAATACGTACAGGCAAAATAAAAATATAATAAGCTGTTGTACGATAAGGCAAGCTGAAGCAAAAAAAAACAAAAGGCAAAAATTCAGAAAGCGGCAAGTCTAAAGTTGAGCGCATGATGAACCGCAAGATTCTGAAGACGACTGCCCGAGTTCCTATGCTTCAGCCTGAGGATCAGACTGATCAGCTTCATTGGGCCCAATGGTGGTCTCAGCTCCAGCAGCAGAAGAAGCAGGCTTTGCACTCTGCCGAGCCTCCCTTTCCCTCTGCTCAGCCTCCAACTCCATCCTCTCAGCTTCTTCCTCGGCTTCCTCAGCCTTAAGGATTTCAGCTTCGATTGGAGTGGCATACTTCATGTGAGGGTCTTCGGGATCTTGGACCCATTCAGCACATTTGGACCAGTCCAGCTTCGGCTCAGCATGAAGGCAGACCCTTCGGCACACTCTGAACCCGTTTCTAAAACCCATTTCATACTCTTCTTGGGTATAGATACGGACTTTGAGTAGAGCCTCAGCATCGGCCAACTTCTTCTTCGTCTCCTCCAAGTCTTCCTCGGATCTCTTCAGCTCATCGACGAGCTTGGAGGAGGAGCCTTTCAGCTCGGTAAACTCTTGCTGAACCTGGGAAGCCTCGGCCTGAACTTGGACCATTTCTTCCTTCTTGGCAGTGAGCTGATCCTCAGCCTCTTGTAGCTTAGCTCTTTGAGCTTCAGCAGCAGCAGCAGCCCTTGAGAGTTGGACATCCCTAGCTTGGAGCATCTCTTCAGCAGCCATTCTGCTGGCTTCAAGAGATTCTAGCTGATGCTGCACCTCAGCCTGTGCAGCAGCTCCTTGGATTCGGCTCTCGATAGCAGCCTTGAACTTGGAGATGTCCACCCCCAGGTGCTCTTGGAGGAATTTTTCCCCTTCCATCAGTGGGGGAAAAACCTCCATCTCCATAGCATCACAGAAGGTTTTCAGAGCTTCGGCAGCTTTTTTACCGTACTCCTCAACCTCCTGCTGCTTCTCTTCAGCTGCTGCTTGCTTCAGCTTAGCAAGCTTAACTTCCTCTTCAGCCACCTTCCTTTCGTGCACAGCAGCGTCAACCCTATCTTGTAGGGTATCAATCAGCTCTACAGTGAGAGTCTGATTGTGCACGAACTGAAAACAGGGGCACAAGTTAAAAAAGTAAAAAATAATAGCTGAAAGGTTGAGTTCAGAAAGAAATCAAGGCAAGGAGAATTACCTGCATCATCAGCAGTTGGTTGGACCTGGCAGGGTCAGGAACTGATCTGCTGGATTCGCCCATCCCAGCAGTGGCCTTCAGCGACCAAATCCTTGCCCTATCTACTTCGGACAGGCCAGCAAAATCGCCGAAGTAGGCTGCAGCACCTTCTCGGTTCTGACCCCATATGAGGTCCCAGATGTGGTCTGGGACTGGAATTCGGGGGGCCGAGAAACCCATTTCTCCAGACTGCAGCGTCTGGAAGGAAGGGAAGGATGACGATGGAGCCTCTTTAGCTTTGGGTGGCTCAACGTCCTCCTCCTTCTCAGAAGAGTCAATTATTGTGACCTCTTCTTCTTCAGGTGTGAGGACGAAGGCCCCAACCTCTCTGGCAATGTCCGCCGTGAAACCCTCAGCACTGGGCATCACGGCGTCTCCATCCTTGTCCTCGGCGGCACTCTCTCGAGCTTCTTCCAGAACCTCTCCCTTAGGTTTGGGAGTTCTCTGATCCACCTCCATCTCGGGGGTGGCGGAGAGGCCCTTGGGGGTGATTGAGGCGGTGGCCGGGGAACCCTCGGCGATCCATTGCCTTCCCCGGGTTCCCTTATTTCAACGCCGAGGGTCATCGGCCTCCGCTGAAAGTCATGCGGGCCGATGATGGCCATTCTTCGGCGCCTCTTCTGAAGCGGCTGCTCGTCCATACCCGAGTCTGAAGACTCTTCTTGTACTTGGTCTTCGGGACGAACAGGGGCTTTCCCTTCTCTGTGTCTGTTACTCTCTTCAGACTGTAACAGACAGGGGGGAAGAAGAGTGTGAGTAAAAAAAAAAAAGAAAGAAGAAGAAAGACAAAGTTAAGTCTAAAGGCTCACCGAGGTCTTCAGCAAAGCCTCGTCTTCTTCAGCTGCCCTAGCCGCAGCTTCTTCAGCAACTCTGGAGGACCCTTCTCCACCTTCACAAGCTTCAATAACCCGTGCAACCTCTTCGGCTGTACGGGCAGCTTCAGCTTCTTCTTCCAGCAGCTGAAACAAGGGATCCCTCTTCTTCCACCAAGGCTTCTGCCTCTGATACAGAGCAACAGCCTCAATTTGGAAGTGGGAAGAGTCTAGGTGAACCTCTCGGCGCCTTGGTTCAGTGATAGGGGGAGCCCGATCAGTTACGACTCGTTCTCGGTTGACGCCAAGGCGAGCGTAATCAATGCCGACGTTGGTCTCGTCCCGTTCTGAAAAAGAAAAGGGGAGAAGTCAATTCAGTTAGTTCGGCACATCACAAGAAAGCAAAATGAAAGAAGAAAAGAGATAATTAAAAGGCCTCGGCCCCAGCCGAAGAAGATTACCATCCCTAAACTTTCGGCTGAGGCCGACAGCTGCCAGCATATTCTCTTGGAAAACATAGTGCGTATCGGGGAGCCAAGTCTCCGGGATATGCTGCATTCGGCCGCTGCCTCCCCGGTTCGGCAGCTTGCCGAAGATGTTCTGCTGATTAAGGTTCGGGTCTGGCCCGCTATCTTCGGGAGGACCTAAACTTCCCATATCAGGATCCGGCTCGGCAAGATACCGGGGAGCGCTGAAAACGTAAGGGTGGCTCGGCTCCGTGGGTGCCCTAACCCAAATCCATTGACCTCTCCAGTCCTTGTCTGAAGAGTCGTTCGGCCACATGGTTAGGAACGGGGGCCGAGACTCAATCCGATACCACCCAGAGCCATGGCATCCGTGCCCACTTTGAATGTTTGGCACTAGCCGATGGAGCCTTCTGAAGCAATGCAGGTTCGGCACGTACCTGAAGAATTTGCAGACCCATAAGTACGTCATTACCCTTCGGATGCTGGTGGGGGTCAGCTGGCACAGGGAAATGTTGTAATGGATCAGCAAGTCTCGGACGAAAACGTCCAAAGGGAACCTCAGCCCATACTGAAGCTGTCTCGTGTACACCCCCACATACCCCGGGGGTGGACGATGGATTCTATCGGATGCTGAGGGCATTCGGCACCAATATCCATCAGCTTCAAAAATGCCGTAGTGCAACTCAATTTGCTCGGCAAATCGATATTGATCGGCGTTCTCTACCCACCATGAGTAGGGGCGGTTCTTTATCATGGCCGAAGCGACTTCGGCATTCTCCCACTCTGAAAACCCAGGGAGGATATCCCAAAGGACAGCGGGAATTTCATCGTCCCGTCCAGAAGCACTCGGCAAATCGATAAAAGGATCTTCCGAGATTCGCCTGTTTTCATCCGAAACAATTTGGTGCCGTCAGCAGGGTCAGACTCTGTCCTTCGTCCATTCCAGGTCCCAATCCTGTCCCTGGGATCGGGGATTAGCCTTGCTCTTCTTGGAGCACGGGCTCCACCTCTAACTCCCCTCACCATTGACGAATTTCGAAGGAAAAAGTCGAAAAAGGGGAAAGAGTGCAAAGTCGAAGAAAGATGAAATAAAATCAAAGGAATTTACCTTGATCTGAAGCAAAAGCCGCCGATTTACGAATTGGTAGTGACAAGTCTCAGCTTCTAAGCTTAATGCTCGGGGAATTTGCGAAGTTTTGATGCGGGCTCTTGAGCGTTCTTGAGAATTCTGGGTTTGTGTTGATGAGTGAGTGGGGAGAGAAGACGCGCCTCTATTTATATCTCCAGAAATGGGAATTCAAGGAGTCTGCGTTTCAATTTCTCTCAAGCACCCCACTAAGTAACCGTTAAACACACGACCTTGCAGTTAAATCGCCCACTACCCATCCAACTTCCGCAATTATCCACATTAACTGTTGTTATCTCATTAATCATGGGTTAATTACGGTTTAAATTCACATTTTTGGATTAACAAATCATTCACTTCCCTCCTTTTCTGATTAAATCAAACCCGACCCGTCATCCTTCCAAATCGGGTCTGGGGGGCAAGTTGTTTGGGTCCAATTTAGTCCAATTGGGCCTGGTCACTGAATGATCCAATTAAAAGCCCAAGGTTAAGGTTCAACTCTCCAAATGTGCTAAAGTCAAAAATCAACATCCTCAAAGCCATGTCAAGGTCAGTCAACGGCCCAATCAGCTTGGCCCAGCCCAACTGACTTCCGGGCCCAATCCGCCTCCTTCATTAGCCAAGGTATAAAAGCCAACAATTTGGTCAATTCTTGGTAAGACAAAAAAGCCTCAAGCAACTAAACTCTTGCACAGCTTTCTCTCTCTAATATACTGACTTAAGCATCGGAGGGGCCTTCCTCGGCGTCCCCCCCGAGGCTAGTTTACGTGTATTTGTTGTGCAGGAAACCCTCGGCTCCTGCGTCGTTCGGACCGAGACCAAGTTCCCTCAAGATAAAAGGATCTTCCGAGATTCGATTGTTTTCATCCGAAACAAAAAGTAATTTGCTTTCATCATCATAAATAAAATTAACAAACGTGAAACTTGTTTGTGTTAATAAGTAGCTAGTGATGGGAAACTTAAAAGCAATGGTTCATTTGCCAAAATGTGTTGCACTGAAAGCAACATATGGTGACGCACCATTTAAGTATTTGGGCGTAGAAGATGATGGCAAACTTGCATATTCCACTGATAAAGTGGTGAGCGAGCAAGCCAAGTTTGCTGTAGAGTCTGCTGGTAATGGCATTGCCCATATTAGATCTTGCTTTAACAACAAATACTGGGTCAGGTATCAATGCTAGCTAATCTTAACCTCTTTTTTTAGGTCCGATTATATAACGCACTTACTTTTTTTTAAAGTTTGAGCATACACTATTTTCTTTAAAGCTTAAATTGTATGACCTAGTTTAGTTTACCTTATTACTTATTGCAGATCAAATAAAAAAAAAAAGTTCAAATTAGATCATATCAGAAAAAATAAGTTTGGATTAGATCATATTAGAAAAAATAAGTTCAGATCAGATCGTATCTGAAAAAAATAAGTCTATACATACTTTTAATGTTTTATGTAAGATTTTTAATTGCTTTAATTTCGTAATTTATTACTGTCTCCATTTGCACTATTTATTGGACTTACTTTGACAAATGTTTGTGATTTACATATAAGATAAAAAAATATATATATAATCTTGTAGGTACTTGTTCAAATACTCGCGTTGAATAGATTATTAATTTTCAATTATTATAATTTATACTTATTGATAACTAAAGATATTATTGATCAATGATTTGCGTTGGCATACATGCCCTAGAGAAATGGAGCAAATAATAGAATACGGATGGATACTACTAGAAATAGGTCGTTTTCCGATGGAATCGTTCTGACGGACCTAAATTCCGTCGGAAAATTTGAATTTTCCGACGGAATTAGGGTCTTTCAGAAAATTCCGTCGGAAAAGGTACATTACGACGAAAAATCTGTCGGAATTTTTGCGACGGAAATTAATTCCCTCGGAAATATAGGCTTATTCCGTCGGAAAGTTAAATTTCCGGCGGAATTAAAATCCGTCGAAAATTTCCAACGGAATATTCCCTTGGAAGTCCCAAATATTCCGACGGATTAATATTCCATCGGAAATTTCCGTCGGAATCTTAATTAAAAAAAAAAAAACCCTAAAACACTAAACCCTACATTTTATGAGAGCCGCCACCCCTTATTTCCTCCTCTCTCTCCTTCTTTTCCCTTTCTCTCTCCTCTCCTCTAAAACTTCTCTGATCTCTCCTCTCACTCTCTCCTTCCATGTTCTCTTCTCCGCCCTTTCACCCATCTCCTCTTCGATTTCTTGTCCCCTTTCACTCTCCTCTTCGATTTCTTCTCCCCTTTTACTCTCTCAATCCTCCTTTCCATCAACAACAACGACTGTCAACAACCACCACCAACGTCAACCACCACCGCCAAAGCCAACGTCAACAACGGCGCAATAACCAACAATTTTATGTAATTGTAATATTAATTTATAATTTTTATTAGATAATTATTGTATATTTATATATTTCCTTTAATTTTTGTTGTTTAATTATTGTTTTTTTTACAAATTTTTGTATGAAATTCTGATTAAATATGTAGATGTACTGGTTTTGATTTTTTTGTGTGGTATTTTTCGATTTTGTTGTGTTAATTTTCGTATTTTTGGGCTAATTTCTATTTTTTTGGGGTTAATTTTCAAATTTTCAAGTTTTTTGGTGTGGTGGTGTCGGTGGTGGTGTGTGAAGGTGGGATAGGGGTTAGGGTTGGTGTCGGTGTCCCTTTCATCCTCTCATTTTTTTTTTCTGAATTTTTCGGTTTGTTTTCTAGGTGGGTGTGCAGTGGTGGACGGTGGTTCTGGGTTGGGTTTGGTGGGTTTGGGTTGGGTGTCTGGGTGGGGTGGGGTGTGGGTTATTAGATGGGTCTGGGTTTGGTTTGGTGGGTCTGGGTCTGGGTGGGTTGGGGTGTCTGGGTGGGGTTAGGTGTCTGGGTGTGGGAAAATGGGTTGGGGACGTGGTGGGTGGAGTGGGCCGGTTGTGGGGGTGGATCTGGGTGGGGAAAATGGTGCCTTTTTTTTTATTTACTTTTTCGACGGAATTTTCCGTCAGAATATACCGCCTCCGACGGAAAATTCCGTCGGTACATCTCCCCCACCGACGGAAATATCCGTCGGAACATAACCCACTTCGACGAAAATTTTCGTCGGAACCTTGCGACGGATTTTCACTTAAAGTCAACAAAAGCGCCGACAAAACATAATCCGTCGGAATAGACCTTTCCGACTGAATATCGCGAAATTCCTACACAGTGTATTCCGAGGGTGCTTTCCGACGGAATTCCGTCGGAAATGGGCATTTCCGACGGAATTTTAGGGTTTTCCGACGGATTTTTTCAGTCGTTGATTGACTGTTTTCTAGTAGTGGGAATATGAAATATACAATATACTTCCTCCTTTCTAATAATATTGCAACAACTACACTTTTGCACTATTTGTCATGCTTGTTTAACCACATATTATGACTTATATATTAAATAAAATGTATTCATGTGGGATCTTGTTAGATTCTTCTTGTAAAATACATACACAATATCAACTATTTATAAATTTTTACATTTATAGAATTATAGATATTTAACATATAAAATGTGTTTTGGGATGCGTAATTTCATCCTTGTTGCAATATTAATGGAACGGGGGAAGTATATTATTACGAATCTAACAAGCAAGACCCCATTTGATATATTTTTTCCATATATATTAGTATATATAAGGTCAAAGTTTGATCTATTCAAACAATCAAATCAGATCAAATTAGAAAAAATCAGTTCAGATCAGATAAGTAAAAATAAAGTGAATAAAACAGAGCCTAAGTTTTAAAACTCGTGGTCAAATAGGTTATACATTTATCAAATAAGATATTGTTTAATTTTCCTTATATCTCAGATCATATCACATTAGAAGCAAAATATATATATATATATATATATATATATATATATATATATATATATATATATATAAGATTTTTAAAAATATCATATTTTATTCACAAATTTTCATATGTAGTCGGCCACACGGTGTGGCTGCGGTTACTCGATTAGTAAGGGGGTACTCGGGCAGGTGTTACTTGGTCAGTTAAGGTTACCCAATTGGTTAGGGGTTACATACTCGGTCGTTTAGGGGTTACTCGGTCGATTAGGGGTTATTCGGTTGGTCATGAGTTACCCGGTTAGTGTTTAGGTGTCAGCTTGCTTAAAAAAACACTATATTCTATTAACATAAATTTGATCAAATGTTTTTCTACTACAATTATAATTCTTCTGTTTTATTAATTGCGCCATTTCTTTATTTGATATTCTTTATTCACCTTTTGCTTGTGTTGACACACAAAAAACTCAACTACCCTTATTCACATTTGATAACAACCATTATTACCCCCACTTCTCTCATTTGATTATATCACATGGACAAATTTGACGCAACCATATTTGATTTTTCTTAAATCTTTTGCCCATACCAAATGATGTGATTAAAAAAATGTAGGAAGTTTTGATGAATAAAAAGTTATACCACAAGTGTAAGCGTCTGTTGTTAGCAGAAACTTAACAAATACGGGTCAAATCTCAGGGAGACAAGTTATACTAATTTTTGCCCAATTATTATAAGCTATTTCAAAATACGAAGAGTGATTTGATAATTAATTGACTAAACTAGGACAATATTGAAAATAAGGTTGTTCTCAAATAAATAAATGTCTAGGACATACGTTTGGTCCACTATGCTTATACCAATCCAAGAAATGCAAACAATTCATCAATAAGTATTTATTAATAAGATTGTTAGTTGGTTTTGTTAGGTTTTTATCAAGTATTTTGATTGTTGGCCTTATTTTGTTATTATTAATATTTCAAAATTTCAAATTCAGTTATCGCAAAAAATAAAAGTAAATAAAATAAAATTATAGCTTGTGGGTTTGGTATAGTAATTTTATTTTACTTTAAAGTCACAATGCTTTGGAATGATTGTATTTTGTTTTAAATATATTGTTAAACCTAATTGAAACTTATTATTTAAAGAGTAGAGAAGCTAACGCGCGCGCCATAACTAGTCATGTTTAAATAGCTCTTTAGTTGTTGGTAGTATTAATGAAAGAAAATATGTAAACAAGTATTTTTTAGGTGTATAAATGTCCGCACCACTGTTCTTAAAAGTTCAAAAAAAAAAAAAATTAATACTGATGAGTGCAAATAAACATTTTAATGGGTATAATTGTACAGACACTATTTATAAGAGTTAAATCACACAAAGGAAAGACTTAGATGCAATTATCATCATAATAATGGGGGCATATAAGTAAACAAACATTTTAAGGATATAATTGTTCTCACACTATTCATAAGTGTTTTGTTAAACTTTTAAAAAAGTAGGGATTAAAGTATGTATATTGTCTAATTATGATCAAGTCTAATAATATTTCATACTAAGATAACTATAATGGTACTGTTGATATTGATATAATATTTAATATACGATTGAAACTATATGTATATTGTTTAATTATTAAATACTACAACAATAGTAGTATTTATAGTTTCTTAAAAAATATTAGTAACATTGTAGTTATCTTAGTATAAATAAATTATTTTAATTATGTATATTGTTTTATTATTAATATTATCACGCTTTTAAATTATTAATAATTTATTGTTAATTGTAGTAGAACTTGTAATTACTTGTTAACTATTATTCTGTTGGCTAATGCTTTTACTTTGACCATAAAAATATATTTGGTCGCTAAAAATTATAATTAACTATTAAATATTAAATAGTCTACAGACGAATGAATCAAATAAAACCAACATGACTATATTGTGTTTTATGTATTGAGAATTCGAGAGCAATTTAGAGGATCTATTTTCTTATTAAAAAAAAGTCAAGATTGCATATGAGAATAATTTTAGGAACAAATGGAGTAATTTTTAGTGTAAATGTATTTATAATAAGTTTCAATCAAGTCCAAAATGTTGCAATAAGTTTTAATCAGATTCAGTAGTTTGAAATTATTAGCTAGGTTTAGTCAGGTCTAATCCGTTCCATACAATTCAATCAGCGCAACTCTTATTAATGGTGAGCATGCATGGATCAAATTGGATTTTGAATTCGATATCCCAATAATTTGGAATATCCAAATCCGATTTGAAAAGTTTCTGGATATTCATTATCTGAACATTTTTGGATCGGATATACTCCCTCCGTCCCTAATCTACATGTCTATTTTCCATTTTTCACGAGAATTAAGGAACTTGGAGATTCCTTAAAACTCATGATTGAGAAATCAAATATGTATGTAGGGTTAGAGAGAGATAGAAAGAAAGAAAAAGTAGTTGGTAATTATTGAAGAGATGGAGAGAGAAAGTGTTGGAAAATGTTGTTAAAAGTACAAAAAAAATAAAATAAAAATAATGACAACTTAGGCATGTAGTTTTGAAACCCTAAAATAGGAAGTAGGGATGTAGATAAGGGACGAAGGGAGTACCAAATATTTTCATGATGCATTTAATCTCATTGAGTTTTATCGACATGATGCAAAAAGAAAAGTAAATGAAATGCTAAATTTTCACGTACAGATCATCTGAAAGCGAAAACTGGATAGTTGCAGCAGCAAAAGATCCGGTGGAAGACAAAACGGCATGGAATTGTACTTTGTTTAGGGCCAACGTTAGCGATGATGGCAAGACGGTGAAATTTGTTCATGTTCAACTTGGAAAAAATGTAGGGAGACGTGATATTGCCTCGGATCGTGACATGTACTTGTGTTTGGAACCTCTTGCCACCGCTGAAGACGTATCTACCGTGGTGGATTACGGAACCATTGTTGTATTGCCCCGATATATTGCACTAAAGGACCAAAATGGTTTCTTTCTCAATACATTTGAGTTTTTGACCTCGATTCACTTTGTCTTATTCATGAATAAAGATGTGGGACAGACAGGAAATGTATTAGAGATCTTTACCACGCGTGATGGCCACATTTATCTGAAGAGTGTTACTTTAGGTTTATTTTGGAGAACCAAATCCCCATCTCATGACCCAGCTATTGAAGGTGTAACTACTTGCACTAAAGAATACGAAGACGAAGAAAATGATCCTACTGATACCGACATGTTATTTTCAGTGGCTAGCGTTGCCAAGGGTATTGTTGCTCTTCGTCACCTAAACACTAACAAATTCTTGGAAAGGATAGAGGGCAGTCAAAGGAAAGGGTCAATCGTAGAGCCTATATATTGTTTAAACCGCACTTCAAATACTATAACAAACGAGGCGGTTCACTTAAGAGTGGTGGAACCTATAGTGAAGCGAGAAGTCAATGTTTTCGAATTCCATCTAGATAGAGCTAGGATCTACAGTCGCAAGCCTCTCACGTTGGCTGAAGGAGTAGTCAATAACCCAACTGACCAAGTGCAAGACTACACACTTCAACTTACCTATACTAAAACATCGACTTCAACTTGGAATACAAGCTCATCCTGGGCTGTGAGTACCAGCGTTTCAATTTCTAGCGGCATCCCAGTCATTGGAGAGATATCCATTGAAATTGGAGCAGAATACTCAGAGCAGTACGATATGGGAGGATCTGTAGAAGAATCTGAGCAAGTGCAAAGCACTTTCACTGTCAAAGTGCCACCCAAGAAGAAAGCAACCGTAAGTGCTATAGCAACAAGAGGAAAGTGTGATGTTCCCTATTCGTACGATCAGGTTGATCATATGCCTAACGGAGATATCAAAAGGACTACTATGTCAGATGGTGTTTACACTGGTGTTAATGCCTACAACTTCAGTTCCCGTGTTCGCTACGAACCCCTCTGATTGCCTCCATATCCATCAAATCATTGGAACTATCAACAACTATGTTGCCCATCTTGTTTCTTTCTTGCTAGCTGTGTGTTTTACATGCATTTGCTCATTGTTTGGTTTTTCAAATTTTCTGAATTATGCTCCTATATAAACTTGTGTGTCAACTCTTTCAGTCTCGCTCCCTTAGCCTAACCCAGCCCCTTACTAAATTACTCTTCTCAAAACCAAGTTTAAAGTTTTAAACATTTAAGCATTGCCAACTCTTTCAATAACTGAAATAATGTCCTATTACACGCCAGGAAATTTAAAGGACACATGTCTTTTTTTTTTATATATATATTTTAAGTTTCAACTAAAGTGGAAAAAAAAAATAAAAAAAATAAAACCTACCTAAGAGCAATTTAAATACACAATAGTAAAATTCTTTATTGAAAAACATATACTTTATATTTAGCCAACAGGATTAACCATGCATCGCACGGGCTAAATACTAATTTTTTTAATAACCAAAAAATTAACAATTAATAGTGGGCTTTCGAATATTGAAAGGGTTTAATAGCTTCATTAAGAATATTGAACATGATAATCAAATTTATCATTTGAAGCAATAGGTTTTCATAATTAATGTCAACACCTTCAATATCAAATCAATATATGGTTACTTCTAATATCAAAGCTAATAGATTTTCAAACAGCAACTTTGGTCCAACCAATATCATGTTTTGTCGATATTAGAAGTATGTTTAAACGAACTATTGTCAATATTTGTACAAAGATAAAAGGTATAATCACAGTTTGGGATTACAAAGTAGCAACATGTCCAAAAGATATAAATAACATAATAGAGTTCAAATGAAAAAGAGCAAGTCGAAATGTAGTAAGACATAATAGCCGTAATACGATGCCAAGCTTCACACCTTCACTTGAATGACCAAAAAGCACAATCATGGTTTACGCAGGGGACACTTTGAAAGCCGGAGGAGATTTGGAAATCATCTACACCACCACTTTATCCCCCTTGTAATCTTCTCTCCACAAATCATGTATGTTATTCCATTCCTTATGTTGCATAGCCTAATCTGGTCACGTGAGTTCCTTTTAACATAGAGACATGACGGGTACTTTTTATTCATCTAAACATCAACTGGCGTTTCAGGCCCCAGGAAGTCCAAATGAGATCTCGCAAAATCCAATGACACATTCTACAAAATTGATTGTCAACATAGGAATGGCAACATCACAACAAAGCTAATTTCATATATTCAAATTCAATTATATAAAATCCATTTCTATTTTTGCATTCCATTGCATAATCATTGACCCACTATTGTAAGTAACAATGCATAATCACTAACCTACATACTATTGTAAGTAATAACGTTTATGTAAGTAACAATGCATAATATACTTATTGATGATTAATTTTTACATTTGTAATTAACAATGTAATAATTAATCACATCAATAAGTATATTCTGAAATCTATTTAGGTGTATGCATGAGTAATCAAGGCAAAACATAATCATAGTACATGAATCTAATTTGGATGTATGCATGAGTAATCAAGGCAAAACATTAACATAGTACAATAATCTAATTTAGTTGTACGCATGAGTAATCAAGTTAACATTATCATAGTACAAGTCTAATCAAACACCACATGCATTATTGAAGTTTTGGTTCATCATGAAGCTAATCATTGTAGTTTTTTAAATTTGGGGGGGGGGGGTGGGGAATTTAGCCTCTTATTTAGTATTAGGTTGTTTTTTAACCAAGTCATAGTCTTTATACCAAAATTTTATAAATGAATATCAGCTTCAAAACAAGCCTAATAAGAGGGTATCCAAATAACGGCAAAAATTGCACTTTCATATAAATCCCTTACCAATCTACCTACATTAATGTAAGGTTGCGTGAAAGTCGATCTGAACTCAGGCTGTCCCTCGACCTCATCAAGGCCATCAACATCATTTGAACTCCCATCAGAGAGAACAATGATATTGGGGTCAATGGTGTTGGGGATCTCTATTCCTCCCCTAAAAACAGTCACATGAAAGCACATATTTCCCTCGTACATTATTTCAAGCACGTCTTCTAGCTGGATGTCGTTCTCGTCCATGAAATTTTCCCATCCTTTGCCAAAGTGTGTCTCCACCCAATTTCCATAAAGTGTGTAAAGCAAATAGATGGAGTACACCTTAGTATCCTCTCCTCGTTGAACTTTAACAATGAAAACACCTCTAACCAGCTTATTAAACTTGTTAGGAATTGGCTGTAAAGGTGCATAATATTTAGGATAATACCATAAGAAAATCAAGGCATGTTATGAAATTCCATCACATGCAAGAGTATATAAATACCAAGGTGTGTAACATGGAATGGTCAATCACAACATCAAAGCTTAGCTTTGTATTTGGCGCCATGATTACCTAAACAAAATAATAGCCATTATGTATTGAATATAAAACATAAACTCAAACACATAAGTTATAGATAACTACCATTCAAACCAATACCAAAATAGTCTGTATACAACCTTTTCATTCAGTTACAGCTACATACACATGGAGGTACAACTAACTTCATAAAGCTTAAAACATGGTACACTCTAAATTACCACTAACTTGGTCAATGCCTCCATTTAGTAAACCGAATCATCTCCTAACTAGGTAGTCATGCACAACTCCACTATACATAGCCGGGTAATGTTAAAGATAAAGACATGCTTCTAAACTAAATGACTTAATAATGTTCAATCACATGGTGTGAAAAATATTCTGTTAATATAGACTAAAAAAAATAGTTACTAAAATTAGCAAGTTAGACAAGAGTTTTTGGAATGGCTAAAAGTTAAAGCTAAAACTCCGAGACATATATTATAATAATAATAAAAACTTCCTCCAAAAAAAATATTAATAATCTAAACAATTGTTTTTTTATTTTTTACTTCACAGGCAAAACTGACCACTCCAAAAAGAAACATTTGTCAAACTTAGCTCAGACACTTTATAAATCCAGCACAATACTAAATTTTTACTTTTAAATCAAATCTCAAACATTCAAACTCATAGATCTGGGGATTGTCTTGTATATTCATGGCCAGGTATCTATGTGTCGTTTGGTAATTGGTAGCGAATTATACACATACAAGGTCCTTACTTATAAGATTTTATTCCTCGTTTGGTAATATACAGAGCCTAAGCACCGAATAACCAAAGCATATGTATACTTTATAATTAAATTGCAAATGACATGCAACAATTATACGAGATGTAATTTCCTAAATTTTAGGTTGTCATCCACAACATACATAATTTAAATTAAATCAACTCAAAAAAACCAACTAAAAACAAAAAAAAAAAAAAAACCCGTAAATCATCCAATTAAGATAAAAAAGACCATATTCAGCAACAGAAGTAACAACTTAAAGTACTAATGCATAAAAATCACGTTTTTAGGACAAAACAAGTCAAAATAATGTAGATCTGGGTCTAATTTCGGCAAATAACTAGTTCGATTAGTATTAAGGTTGTAAAGGTATACCTGAACAAGAGAATTTCCGTACCTTGATGCCTGTTGATCGGTTCAAACCACCAAGCGCCGCTTGTGGAAGGCCACAACAGAAGGTTGACCAACCGAAGTTTGTTCGGCACCGGGAAAAATGGATAAAGCAACAAAGGAATTGAAGGACTTTTAGGAGGAGTGTTTAAGAGGATATGGGTGAAAAAGGAGAGAGAAGAATAAGATTAAAGGATATTTGTGTGAGGTGTTTCTGGGGATATTCAAGGTTAGGGTTTAATTGGGTGATACTACATGGTTAATTAGACTTTAAATAATATTACTAAATAATATTGTCGACATCTTTTTGGTTCAATCGAAAAATTATTCCAATAAAATAATATGTTACCCAATATTATTGAGAGCATACATATTACTATTTGTTAAAATATAAAACACACACCTTCTTGGGACAATCATTTATTATAAAACTTATGCTTTATTTAAACTCTTACACTGCTTGAAGTTCCAACTTGTATTACCATTATTATAGTATAAAATTATTATTTAGACATTGATTCACCAAAAATAAAACTTGTTACTCTAATATATTCGTTGTTTTTATTCCACAACGAATGTCATTTTATTACTTAATTAATGTTAGTTTCGTTGTAAAACATACAAATACAACTATCTTTATACCTATACCTATAAATATTTCCATTTTTATCTAATTATTTAACTTAAATTAATGTTTTAAAATCTTAAGGTACTTTTTTCATTTTGAATTTATTTAAAATCCAAGGCATCACCAGAGACACAAACTAGTTTAACTTTTTATAAAAAAATAAGATCTTATACAACCTGTTACTATACTTTGCTATAACGTCCCGACACTTAATACATCTTATTTATTTAACTTATTATTGTACCTTACTTAACCCCAACTGAAGTTACTACATCATATTCAACTTAATTAGTAGTAATTAAAACTTAAATACGAATCAATTATTCAACTTATTGGCACTATGTTATAACTTATGGCCATTATTTAGCTTATTATACAATATAATATTAGATCGTATAGAGTTAACCTATTCTTACGTAATTAGATACTCCTAAAATGCACTAGTAGAATCAATTCAACTTATTGGCCATATGGTAACCTTTGTGGCCATCGCCTAACTTATTAAATCTATTAGATCTTATACACCTTGTTATTATACGTACCTGACTAGACCTTACGGACACTTATTAGCTTTTATATCCTTAAATTATTATTGTACCTTATTATTTACCCCAACACAAGTTACTACATCTTATGCAACCTAATTAGGATGTGGCATAACTTATTTAAGAATCACTTCAACTCTATAGGCCATATATTATAATAGTTGTCCATTATTTAGCTTATTATGCTGTATAGTATTAGATCGTATAGAGTTAACCTATTCTTACATAATTAGATACTCCTAAAATGCACTAGTAGAATCAATTCAACTTATTGGCCATATGGTAACCTTTGTGGCCATCGCCTAACTTATTAAATCTATTAGATCTTATACACCGTGTTATTATACGTACCTGACTAGACCTTACTGACACTTATTAGCTGTTATATCCTTAACTTATTATTGTACCTTATTATTTACCCTAACACAAGTCACTACATCTTATGCATCCTAATTAGGAGGTAGCATACCCAAAGGTTTGATAAGTGAGATATAAATATTTAAATCCAAAAAACTTCTTTTAATATACTTTTAGATAAGGTATACGTCTATTAAATTGAGAACATTAAATTTATAATTCGCACATATAATATATACGGATTGCAAATAACTAAGATCATGTAGATTAGTTTGTCTTTGTTATGTTTTAATTTGAATATTAGATTAGTTTTCAATTTATTTTTTATGGAAACCGATTCATGTTGATTAGTTTACGCTTCGTGTAAATGACTTTATATGACTTCAAGTGCACTTATATACATGGAATATTATTATACATGCTTAATAAAATGGTCGTTACATATTATGAGCATTAATGGGTGTAGAGTTGCTTGTGGTCGAAACATATGTGATTAATTATATTTTAAACTCTATTGAATAAAAACAAAATAAAAAAAAATATACTAGGACTCATTGTAACTTTATTTGTAAGTTTTTTTACATTTTTTTTTTGTTTTACTCACCAAATTCAAACAAGTAGTTGATGCCTCACCTTTTTAATAAATATGCCATGTACAAGCTGAATTCAAATTAATGTGTTGCCTTGTTTAAAAAAATAAAATAAAAAAAAATCAAGATTAGCTTGTTGGAAACCCGTCATCCATTCCATTTTGTATGTAAGGGTCTGTCAAATATGTACATCTCTAACTAATTTTTTTTTTGTTTTGTTTTTTTTTTTTTTAAACAAGGCAACACATTAATAATCAAGCTACTAAAAAAGAAATTTGCTTTCATCATCATAAATAAAATTAACAAACGTGAAACTTGTTTGTGTTAATAAGTAGCTAGTGTTGCAATGGTTAATTTGCCAAAAAGTGTTGCACTGAAAGCAACATATGGTGACGCACCATTTAAGTATTTGGGCGTAGAAGATGATGGCAAGCTTGCATATTCCACTGATAAAGTGGTGAGCGAGAAAGCCAAGTTTGCTGTAGAGTCTGCTGGTAATGGTATTGCCCATATTAGATCTTGCTATAACAACAAATACTGGGTTAGGTATCAATGCTAGCTAATCTTAACCTCTTTTTTTTGGGCCGATTATATAACGCACTTAATTTTTTTTAAAGTTTGAGCATACACTATTGTTTTAAAAGCTTAAATTGTAAGACTTTGTTTAGTATACCTTATTTCGGATCTTATTACTTATTGCAGATTAAATAATAAAAAATAAGTTCAAATTAGATCATATCGAAAAAATAAGTTTAGATTAGATCATATTAGAAAAAATAAGTTCACATCAGATCATATCTGAAAAAAAAAATTAGTCTATACATACTTTTAATGTTTTATGTAAGATTTTTAATTGCTTTAATTTCGTAATTTATTACTGTCTCCATTTGCACTATTTATTTGACTTACTTTGACAAATGTTTGTGATTTACATATAAGATAAATATATATATATATATATAATCTTGTAGGTACTTGTTCGAATCCTCGCAATAAATAGATTATTAATTTTCAATTATTATAATTTATACTTATTGATAACTAAAAATATTATTGATCAATGATTTGCATTGGCATACATGCCCTAGAGAAATGGAGCAAGTAATAGAATACGGATGGAGTATGAAATATACAATATACTATATACTTCCTCCGTTCTAATAATATTGTAACAAATGGACTTTTGCACTATTTATCATGCTTGTTTGACCACATATAATGACTTATATATTAAGTAAAATATATTCATGAGAGATCTTGTTAGATTCGTCTTGTAAAATACTTACACAATTTCAACTATTTATAAATTTTTACTCTTATATATATAATTATAGATATTTATCATAAAAAATGTGCTTTGGAATGCGTAATTTCATCCTTGTTGCAATATTAATGGAACGGGGGAAGTATATTATTACGAGTCTAACAAGCAAGACCCCATTTGATATATTTTTTCCATATATATTAGTATATATATATATATATATATATATAAGGTCAAAGTTTGATCAATTCAAATAATCAAATCAGATCAAATTAGAAAAAATCAGTTCAGATCAGATAAGTAAGAATAAAGTGAACAGAATAGAGCCTAGGTTCTGAAACTCGTGGTCAACTAGGTTATACATTTATCAAAAAAAGATATTGTTTAATTTTCCTTATATCTCACATCATATCATATTTTATTCACAAATTTTCATATGTAGTCGGCCACACAGTGTGGCTAGGGTTACTCGATTAGTAAGGGGGTACTCGGTCAGGGGTTACTTGGTCAGTTAAGGTTACCCAATTGGTTAAGGGTAGCATACTCGGTCGTTCAGGGGTTACTCAGTCGATTAGGAGTTACTCGGTCGGTCATAAGTTACCCGGTTAATTAGTGTTTAGATGTCAGTTTGCTCAAAAAAACATTATATTTTATAAACATATATTTGATCAAATGTTTTTCTACTACAATTATAATTCTTCTGTTTGAAGGTGTAACTACTTGCACTAAAGAATACGAAGACGAAGAAAATGATCCTACTGATACCGACATGTTATTTTCAGTGGCTAGCGTTGCCAAGGGTATTGTTGCTCTTCGTCACCTAAACACTAACAAATTCTTGGAAAGGATAGAGGGCAGTCAAAGGAAAGGGTCAATCGTAGAACCTATATATTGTGTCAACTCTTTCAGTCTCGCTCCCTTACACCCAGCCCCTTACTAAATTACTCTTCTTAATACCAAGTTTAAAGTTTTAAACATTTAAGCATTGCCAACTCTTTCAATAACTTAAATAATGTCCTATTACACGCTATAGAGAATTTTAATTTCAAATTATTAAGAGAGTTTAATCATGCCGACATTTCTGCTATCATCAAGAACATTGCTTAGGTTCAAAAATTATATATACTCATAGTATAAGTTTTGCATGAACAAGGGACCTATGCCTATTTTATACTTTCGTCCAGTAAGCAACATTAGTCCCTAAACTTTAATCTACAGTGGAAAGTAGCAATGTAGCATTTTAGTTCCTAATTTTTGGCCATGTCAGCAATTAATATTTTTTTTTAATATATTAATACATTTAAGACCTTCTCTCTCCTCATGACCAAATACAAGGTCATCCAATGGCTATACTTACAATAACACCTGATTAGGGGATTTTGCTCCCACCAATCGGAATGCGCCACGTGGGCCAATCAGGTCCTGCCAAGTGTTCCTCAGTTGGACCTCTCAGGGCTTGCCACGTGGCACACGCTTGTTCGTCCGCCTTGGACCTATTATGTCATGACACGTGGCATACTCCATGCCTAATGGAGAAGTCGGCCACCCAGGCCCAACTTTCGTGGGAAGCCCAATCAGCCCAAGGTTAACCTAAACCTAGATTGACACGTTTCCCGAGGTTATAAATACCTCCCTTAATCCTCATTAAGGGAGATTACGCAGATTACACACATTAAACTCTCTCACCTAGAGAGACCCAATCACTTTAATTTCCGCATTAATTACTCCTTAATCAAGTACTAACTTGACCGTCGGAGGCGGATCTCCAATCATCCGGAGCATCCGTTTGTTTTGCAGGTACAAGCGTCCGGTTCCAGTCTCGGAATTGTAACTCTCCCGCAGGACATCAGAAAACCCCGAAACATCTTGACGCCGTCTGTGGGGAGAGTACTTCTGAGATGGCATCTACGTTTGTACCGGCTCCTGAAGAGAGACGTCCCCTGGACGACCCTCTAGTTCAGTCGGACCACGATACTGAGAATGAATTTGAAGTTGAAGCTCACACAGCTTCAGACGGGACGCTAAGGGGCCGACGTACCCGTCATACCGAAAGGAGGGAACGGGAACATCTTCAAACTGGAAGCGAGCCAGCAGGCGCACCGCCTGTTCGGCAGCAGCCGACTGATGGGTCTGCTCCCATCACAAGGAACGAACTCATGACCTTCATGAGGGACTTCAAGGGAGAAATTCAAGAGTTGATCAACAAGAAGCCGCCTGCTCTGGACAAGGAGCAGTCGGCTAAGAAACCCTCCACTTCACGGAAGAGGAAGCCAGTTCAAGGGCGAGAGGCGACCCCTCATCCTAAATCTAGGAAGTGGGAGCCACCTGCCCTTGATTTCACAAAATACCGTTTTCCTACTCCAGGAAATAGGAAACCTGTTCGTCATATTCAGGCGAACGGGTCGAGGAAAACATACACAGACGCTCGGCTACTGCTAGAGCAGAAGAAGAGTGACCGATTGTCAGAGTCGGCCTCTACTTCAAACTTCCAAGACAGTCTGCGAAATATCTCGATGAAGCATACTCAGTCGTATCATGAGAGTCAGTCAGGCGGCACCTCCCGTCAGTCCGGCTTTCATAGCGACCAGGCGGTACCAAACTTACCGTTTGTACCGCAACAACAGTATTTTTTACAGCCACCTTCGTTTGGTGGACATGCAGCAAAAAATGTCCAACCTATGGACTGGCAGCTACGGTTGCTTAGACTTGGTGAACAGCCGTCGGCCTTCTCCAAGGAAATTACTGAAGCCGCTCAGCCGGTCAAAGTGAAAAATGTATTAGTAGGCGCTTATGACGGCACTACTAACCCAGAAGACCATCTGATGGCATTCACCAACCTGATGTACCTTCAAGGGTTGGATGATCCCACTTGGTGCAAGTGTTTCCCAGCGACTCTCAAAGGAATCGCACAACAATGGTTTGGCAACCTGCCGACTGGTTGTGTAAATAACTTCAAGACGTTTGCTTACTTATTCACCTCCTACTTCGCCATGAACATCCCTGCGAAGAAGACGACCCTTGATTTAGGAACAATTCAGCAGGGCGAGAAGGAGGGGCTTCGTTCTTACATCAGGCGGTTTAACCTGATGAGAATACAGATTCAAGGGTACCGGATGAAGTAGCCTATACTGACTTTTTCAGAGGTCTCAAAGACGGGTCGACCTTCAAATTTGATTTGGTCCGAAAGAGGGTGGCGACTCTTCAAGAGGCCTTGATTGAAGCGGAAGCCTACATACAGGCGACTGATCTTTGTAGTACGGTAAAACAGTCGGACGGGAAAAGGTCCGACAAAGAGAAGGACGACATAAACAGTCGTCAAACAAAGATGAGAAGAGAAAAGAGGTTTGGGCGGCTGATTCCTCTAAACAGCCGGCCCAGAAAAAGAAAAAAGAATTCAAACCATACTCCCTAAAGTATGCGTTTAACAAGGATAGCCAATTTATCCTAAAGGAAATCAAGGGACGGATCTCAATTGAGAAGCCGGTCCCCATGAAGGGTTTTGCAAACAACCGGAACCAAGAACAATTCTGTGATTATCATGAAGATGTTGGTCATCACACTAATGAATGCATCAGTCTCATGCGGTATCTGGACCGCCTGGCTGAGCAAGGTGATCTTGACACTTATGTCAAGAAATCTACGGGGAACACTTCCTCGAAAAAGCAGTCGGCCAAAAAGAATCAACAGGCCAACAGTTCTGATACAGATGATGTAGTCGTCTACACCATTGCAGGCGGCTTCTTAGGAGGCAGACCCACTATTAGGGGCAACAAAGACAATATCAGACGGTTAGATGTAAATTCCGTTCACCAAGAACGGCCCTCCAAATATTCATTTCCTGAGATTGTCATCACTGAAGAAGATCTAGGAGGGGTAAGAGGGCCGCATGACGACCCTATCGTTATTTAATGTAAAGTGGCCAACCAGAGAGTTGGTCGAATCCTCATAGATACCGGAAGCTCCTCAGATCTCATCAGTAGCAAATGTCTGTCGAAACTAAAATATCAGACTGATTGCATACATCCGGCATCCCACCCTTTAGTAGGGTTTAGAGGAGGAGTCGTCCACCCAGTGGGACGAGTGGATTTACCCATCCGCCTGGGCAAAAAAGGGGAAGGACGACACATGGTAGTCCGGTTCCTGGTAGTAGAAGAACTCTCGGCCTACAACATGATTCTGGGACGACCAACCCTGAATAATTCCAAGGCTGTTATAATCCCATCTCTTATGTTGCTCAAGTTTGAGAGGGATAATGGAACAGTCGGGTCCCTAAGGGGAGATCAGAGGATGGCCCGTGAGTGCTATCTCTCGGATGTCAAGCCCACTGTTATGGCCACTGGGTCGAGCGGTGGAAAAATAGACCTTGACAATGTCAAGGAGAGTGCGCCTGTTCAAGAAGCAGGCGGCAAGAAGAGAAAGGCATCCCAGATGGGGGCCGCAAGAAAAGACAGAAAATAGCAATCATTGGCAGAGGAGCGGTCGGATGAATTCCGCCCTCAGCCGGCTGGTGAGCATACGGACCTGCTCTTAGATGACTCGCGTCCTGACAGAACAGTCAAAGTTGGGACGACTGCTCTAAGGGTCCTGGGTGACGACTTTCACAAACTATTGAAAGAATACAAGGACATCTTTGCATTGGAAGTCCATGAAATGCCAGGCATCAGTCCTGATCTGGCGGTACATAAACTGGCCGTGGATCCGAAAAAGCAGCCGGTAAGGCAGAAGAAGCGGAACCATGGCGAAGAAAGAAGTCAGGCGGCAGCCGCCGAAGTTAAAATTACTTGATGCAGGGTTCATCCGGCAATGTTACTTCCCAGACTGGGTTGCAAATGTGGTGCTTGTTAAAAAGCCGAATGGCACCTGGCGAATGTGTGTAGACTACACAGACTTAAACAAGGCGTGCCCCAAAGACAGTTACCCTCTGCCTAAAATTGATAACCTGGTCGACTCAACAGCCGGCCATGCTTTGATGAGCTTTATGGACGCCTACTCTGGTTTCCATCAAATTCCTTTATGGGAGAAAGATCAGGAGAAGACGGCCTTCGTCACTGATCAGGGGTTATACTGTTACACGGTCATGTCGTTTGGTCTTAAAAATGCCCCGGCCACTTTCCAGCGAATGATAAACACTGTGTTCTTTGATCAGATTGGGAGAAATGTCGAGGCATATATTGATGATAAGATTGTCAAGTCTAAACTTCAGAAAGATCATCTGTCGGACCTCCGAGAAACTTTCGCCACACTCAGGCGGCACCATGTCATGCTCAATCCCAAGAAATGTGTCTTTGGAGTTGAGTCTGGGAAATTTCTCGGATTCCTTATCAATCAGAGAGGAATAGAGGCGAACCCTGAGAAGGTGCAGGCGGTCATCGACATGCAGTCGCCTCGTACCATCCGAGAGGTTCAGAAGTTAACAGGTTGTCTGGCGGCCTTGGGAAGATTTCTAAGCCGATCAGGCGACAAATGCCTATACTTTTTCCAGGCAATTAAGAAGAAGGCAAGGTTTGAATGGGGGCCGGATGCTGAGGCGGCCTTCCAGAAATTGAAAGTTCACTTGCATTCCTTGCCGAGGCTGGTCAGCCCTTTACCCAAAGAAGTACTCTACATGTACCTGGCCGTCTCTGATCATGCGTTAAGCGTTGTTCTCCTTGCTGAAAGAGACGGCTGTCAGCTTCCGGTCTACTTTGTCAGTCATGTACTGAAAAATGCCGAGTTGAGGTATCCCTTAGTGGAGAAATTTGGTCTTGCACTCTTCATGGCTGTTAAAAAATTGAAGCCCTACTTTTTGGCACATGCAGTC